CCCCCAACCGGCCCTCCCCATTCAGAGCCGCCTTACCACCTCAATAGATAGAATCTCCTCGCCCTCCCCTCTCCCGCCCCGCCCGAGGGCGCCCAGGAGGGAAAGGGCAGGGGCGGTATGAATGAATCGTGCGCACCATTCATAGACAAACGCAGGCGAGAGAGAAAGACGTCCGGGGGGAGGAGGGAGGAGGGAGGGGGGAGTAGGGGGCGGCGTGTACAGCGCCCTGCCGCGGCGTAGTGTAGAGTTGTGGAGAGTAACCCCCTCCCGCCACCGCCGCAGCGGTGCGGGCGGCGGATTCAAAACAAACCCCCCTGTAGAAGTGGGGCGCGCGCGGAGGGTGGCCGCCATCTAGCGGGTGGTGCGGGAAGCGCCTCGGCGCTGGCCTGCTCTCGGCGGCCATGATGGCGCCCGCCAAGCATGGCCGCGCTGCCCTTCCGCACCCGCCCCCTGCGCGCGCCAACATTTGAACGGCGTGCCAACGCCGCGCTCGCTGGTCCTGGGCATTCCACGAAACGCAAACTATTGTGGAGAGTTTTTGAAACAAAATTCTGATGAGGAAAAAACAAAGTGAAAACTTTCATATAGGTTTGTTTAAGTTTATTCTTCTCAATTTTTGTTCAATAATTATTTTTTTTGCTCGTTGAACTGGTCCACAGGTGGTGGAAGAGCAGCGGCCCGTGACGCCGCCCAAGTACCAGGTGCGCGAGCCGCCCTACCTGCACTCGCGCTTCATGGAGCAGATGGCGGAGCGCGAGCGGCAACGGGAGGAGGACCTGCGCCGCCGGGAGCAGGAGGAGGAGGACAGCCGAGTGGCGGTGAGACAACTACTATGTGCTCGTTTATCTGTATACTGCAGTAGTCGCTTGTCTTGCGGTTCGCCGTCCTAGCCTAGAGCTGGCCTAGAGCAGAGCCGCCGCCGCATAGCCGCGCCGCGCGGTGCGCGCCGTGCTCTTTCGGCTAGGCTGTCCGGCACGCCGCCGTGCGGGCGCGTTGCCTACCCGCACGGCGCTCGGGTCCCGCCCGGCGCCGCGGCCTGGACAAGCCCAGCTGCAGTCGTGTTGCTCGCGCCTCGGTCCAGAAAGACTTCGTCTACATCCTAGTCGATGACCTGCAGGAGCTGGAGAAGCCGCCCCCCGACGAGCTCTGGGGCTACCGGCTGCACGCGTGGGCGCTGGTGCGCCCGGGCCCGGGCAGGGACGACGTAGAGGAACCCTTCTTCCTGGAGCCGGCCACGGGCTTCCGGCACGACATCGCGTACCCGGGCTACCACCGCGTGGAGAGCGTCTGGAACCACGTCAACTACTGGGTCAACGTACAGCAGCGCGCCGCGGCGGCTGACACCTGCGAGGGCACCGACTTCGACCTCGTCGACCTCGGCAAGTGGGAGCACTTCCTCGCCGGCGAGCCGGCCGAGTGGCGCCGCGGCCCGGACCCGGACTCGCGCGCCGACCTCCTCGACGAGGAGCCGGCCGAGGACGAGGAGGTGCTCGCCGAGAAGCACCTCGACATGCCGGCGTCGTGGGTGCCCCGGCTGGACGTCCAGCACGCCGTGTACGAGAAGCGGTACCCGGGCTGCAGCAAGACCATCTTCTACAAGAAGGCCAAGGTGGAAAAGTTCGCGCCGTACCTCAACAAGGACGGGCTGGTGAAGCGCGTCACCGTGTACTCGGACTACGAGCACGCCCAGCCCCTGTCGCTCACGGAGCACTACGAGAATCGAGCCGACTGCCTGGAGCGCATCAAGAAGGTCCTCGTGGACGGGAGCGCCACCGACTACTTCCGGCGAGGGCGGGAGGACGCATGTAAAGGTGAGGCGCGTTCGTGTGTATGTGTGTGCGTGTGTCCTCAAGCTGAACCTTGTTTGAACTTTCGCAGAGCACCAGTACATCGTGGCCGAGAACTCGCTCGACAGCCCGAGGACGCTGCGGTTCTACGACGTGGCACGCAACGACGGCCTGGAGCAGCTGGAAATGGACGCCGAACACCTCACGGAGACCTTCCGCGGACGGAACGACCACCTGCAGCACCGACGCGTGCACTTCCTCGGCCCGGACACGGAGGACCTCGCCAGCGGCAAAAGGAGGCCCATCCTGGTAGGTGTGCGGTTTGTTTCTTCCCTCTTTTTGTCGGGGGAAACAAGGGAAGGGGGGCAATTTTCGAAACAAATTGAGTCTGTACGCGAAATTTTTGATACCCTTCTAGAAAATCACTGAAAAGTTCGAGAGAAATGCCGAGCTGGACGCAGACCGCGACATAGCCGAGCGGGAGTTTCTGCTCAACGACAACAAGATTCTCCTCAAGTTCCATTACGGGATGGGCAAATTGACTGCCGCGACGAGGGAGTTCACCAAGCCAGCCAGAGTCGACCGTGGGCGGTGGTTGAACTTCAGTGCCGACCTCGTCACGTCCTACGAGGTAGGCCCATGATTCATCAATGTTAACCGTCTTTTGTCATGGCGCGTCGCTCACATCCGTGTGTCCGGTCCACAGGCTGGGGGCAAGCCCATGAAGCAGGTGGAGCTCTTGATGCTGCTGCAAGAGCAGCTGGAGGCGGAGGAGAAGACGATGTACCACGTTCGTCAGATCGAGGACGAGGCACGTGAACGAGGAGAGTCGCGATCCATCCGATTTCTGACCTTGTGTGCTCCGCGCTGTAACCGGTTGTTTTCTCTGTCCGGCAGCTGTCCAACTTCCTGCGGATGCGAGTGGTGGAGGTAGCGATGCCGCGCCTGCAGGTGTCCCTGTTCGACGAGGAGCGCAACGAGAAGGCCAAGAAGGGCCTCAGAGAGAGGGTGAGCTCCGCGTTGTAGTACAGGTCCGTATGTGCTCGACCGAACACAGCGGGATCCTCACGTGCCTTTGTTTGCCCGCCCGACAGGAGCAGCGGCTGCTGGAGGAGGAGGCCCGCGAGGTGGAGGCCGAGGTGGACTTCCTGGCGCCCTACATGGCGCGCCTGGGCAACCCCGACAGCCTCTCGTCCACGCAGGCGCTGGCCATGCGCGATGACTGCCTCAGCGACTTCAAGCGGCAGTACGTGAATCGGGCGCAGCAGATGCAGAATCGATTCGAAACGGTGAGTGAGGGCGAAAAGGTTCCCGCCGAGTACGGCCAATTAATTACTGATATAGTGCGTGCATTTTAGACAGTCCCCAAGACTGTGTGGCGACCGCTGCGCTCAGCCCCCCCCCCTCCCCCTTTTTCCTATCTCTCCACTCCCCCGTCCCCTTCCCTCTCGACCGGCCGACCGGACCGCGGGCGGTGCTGCTGTAGCTAGCTACTTGAGCTGAACGAAAAAGTGAGGGGCTTTGTGATCTGTTTTTATCAGGAAAAGGAGCGTCTTCAAGAATTGAATCGGTGGTATGAAGAAAATCAAGAGAGGCTGGCTCCCGAACAGGAAGACAATTACTTTGAAGAGACGCGCAAGCTCGACTTTCTACTTCACACCCTCCAGATACGTCTGGAGCGACATCGGGACTTGGCACCTCAACGTTATCTTGCTTTGGAGGCATGTCTTCGAGCTGATCCAAGGCTGTCTATTTTGTACTAAAGGATTGCGGGTAAGTAAAGTGGATAGGCACGTTTATGTACGGTGATCTCATTTAATCACATTTAAAGACAGTAATACTGATTAACAAAAAGGAAAACTTAAGCTCAAGAAGTGGATTCTGTCATACATATTCACACACACAGCTTATCTTGGAACTAAAATTCCTGCAAAACACTTTTCTGTGAGAATCATGTTCTGAGATCAACATTCAAGCAATATTGGAACTTTTCTTTGGTGTAATGAGTATCATAAGTTCAAAGGGGAAAATTCTTTTTACTTCTATAAACTGGCTTCAAGAAATCTTAGTAATATTTATCCCACATAATAAAACCCTTCCATGTCCAATATGTTATATTTTTCCTATACAAACATCACATACTATCTGGCACTTAAAGTGCAGGTTC